CTTTCTTTTTCTATACAGCTCTCTTTTTTTCTCTCTCTCTCTGTCTCGCGTTTCGCTCCTTTCTTTCTCAACCTCTCTTTTCTTTCTTTTGTTCTTTCTATACATCTCTCTCTCGGTCTCCCGTTTCTCTCCTTCTTACCCCCGTTCTATATGTCTCTTTTTCTGTCTCCTTTTTTTGCTTCTTCCTTCTTTCTTTCCCTCATTTCTTCTTTCTATAAGTCTTTCTTTTCTCTCTCTTTTATCCTTTCTTTCCTTCCCTCTCTTTCCCTCCTTCTATATGTCTCTATTTCTTTCTCTCTCTGTCTCCTGTTTCCCTCCTTCTCTAAATTTCTTTCCCGCTCTCTGTCTCCTGTTTCCCTCCTTCCTTCTTTCTTTCCCTTTTTTTTTTCTTTGCCTCCTTCCTTCTTTCCCTCTTTATATCTCTTTTTCTTTCTCGTTCTCTGTCTCCAGTTTCCCCCTCCTTCCTTCTATTTTTCCCTCTTTCTTCTTTCCCTCCTTCCTTCTTTGCCTTCTTCCTCCTTTCTATACGCCTCCCTTTTTTTCTCTCTCACTCTGTCTCCTGTTTCTCTCCTTTCTTTTCTCTCTTTCTCCCTCTCTCTCTTCTCTGTCTTTCCCTCTTTCTCTCTTTTTCTCCGTCTTTCCCTCATTTTCTCTGCCTTTCCCTCTTTCTCTCTGTCTTTCCCTCCTTCCTTCTTTCTTTCCCTGTTTTCTACAAGAAAATGTTAAAAATAATAAAATATAAAATTGTGAAAAATGAAATATAAATAAAAACCTACTGACACTAGTGGTGGAATTACCAGGGTTGCAAAGGTCGCTCTTGCGATTGGGCCCTGGCGTTCTGCCACCGGGCTCCAAGGAAAGGGTCCCCAGGCTTTGGGCTGCTCAGTCCAAAGTGCCCAGGCTTATTTTTTGTCCCAATCTGGGCCTGCTTCCTATCCTGGGTGACAATGCTCACTCACTGCACTGTATCTATGTAGCATGATTATCACCCTAGGACAGAACCACAGAACATGTCCCCCCCTCTCAAGAACAGTGATGACTGTAGTACTCAAAGATTGCTGGAAACAATTCTATCTGATAAAAGTTCAACACAGGAAGATATGAGCTCACAAGGTTTTAGGAAGGATCAACAGGATTTTTTTTTCACATTCCCACACATAGTTACATAGCTATTCTGGTTGAAAAAAGGCACAAATCCATCTAGTTTAACCATAAAAGGGAAAAAAAATATTTATATCCTATACTCACAGTTGATCCATGGGAAGGCAAAAAACAAAGCATGATCCAAATTGCTCCTGCAGGGCAAAAAAAATTTCTTCCTGATCCACCAAGAGGCAATTGTGTATTGCCTGGATCAACTTTACCTATAAATGTTATTAACCAGTTATATTATGTGTATCTAGAAAATAATCCAGACCTTTTTAAAAAGCAATCTACTGAGCTGGCCAGAACCAACTCTTGGGGGAGTCTATTCCACATTTTCACAGCTCTTCCTGTGAAGAAACCTTTCTGTATTTGGAGAATACATCTCTTTTCCTCCAGATGTAAATAGTGCCCCCTTGTCCTCTGTGATGACCTTAAGATGAATAACTCTACACAAAGTTCACTATATGGACCACCTATGTATTCATACAGGTTGATCATATCCCCTCCTTAAGTTTCTCTTCGTAGGAGAGCATTCCTCTAATCTTTCCTCATAACTGAGCTCCTCCATGCCGCTTATCAGTTTGGTTGCCCTTCTCTGCACCTTCTCCAGCTCCCTGATATCCTTTTTTGTGAATTGGTGCCCAAAATTGAACTGCATATTCCAGGTGAGGTCTTACTAATGATTTGTACAGAGGCAAAATAATATTTCTCCCTCTGCAGGTCATGCCTCTTTTAATACAAGAGAGGATTTTGCTTGCTTTGAAAACCTCAGCTTGGCATTGCATGCCATTATTAAGACTATGATTTACCAGAACACCCAGATCCTTCTCCACCATTGGCTCCCCCTAGTATGTATGATGCATGCATATTCCTAACCCCCAAGTGTATAATTTTACATTTTTCAACATTAAACCTCATTTTCCACATAGTTGCCCAAAGTTGGAGACATTTGGTTTCAAATCTGCAAAGACTGAAATGTTACTTTTAATCCCAGACCCTATATCGTTTTTATAAATATATTAAAAAATAAGGGTCCCAACACTGAACCTTGGGGTACACCACCAACAACCCTAGACCATTCATCATTAACCACTCCTCTCTGAATACAATCTTTTAGCCAGTTTTCTATCCATTTACAAACTGATTTTTCCAAGCCTGTAGACTTTACCCTACATATTAGCCGTGTGTGGGGAACTGTGTTAAACACTTTTGCAAAATCCAAGTATACCACGTCCACTGCCACTCTGTCCAAGGTTTTGTTCACCTCCTCATAAAAAGAAATCAGATTTGTTTGACAACTTCTGTCTTTCATGAATCCATGCTGTCTGTTGCTTAAAATATTTTTTTCCAGCAAGAACTCTATGTGGTCTTTTATCCAACTCTCCAATATATTCCTGACATATTCTGTTATATTCTTTGTAATATTTAAACAATGATAGCATTCCGTCATTTATATATTTTTTAAAAGCCCTTTGCTTATTATTTATAGCTTTTTTTAAGCTTCGGGCGTAAGCCAAACAGGTTTTATTTTCATTCTTTTTGCCCATGGGAATATATTTTGCAGTGTGTTTGCATACAGTCTTTTTTAAGAACTCCCATTTCTGTGTTGTGCTCATCGATGCCAATATTACCTCCTTGTCTAAATCTTGGACAGAAGCCCTCATCCATGGAAAATTTGCTGTCTTAAAGTTCAGTTTTACCTTTCCCGTATGTGCTTGTTGTTTACAGTTAACATTAAATGAAATTATGTTATGGTCACTACTACCCAGGCAGTCTTTTATATGAACATTAGTAAAAAGCTCTGCATGGTTTGAGATTACCAGGTCCAGCAGAGCATCATTCTTAGTTGGAACTTCTATGAACTGTGCCATGAAATGGTCTTGCAATAGGTTTATAAATGTTTGCCCTTTAACTGTTTTTGCAGTGCCATTACTCCAGTTAATTTCCAGGTAGTTATAATCCCCCATTATTATCATTGATCCAGCCCTTGTAGCCCTTTTGATCTGTGCAAAGGGTTTCCACCTCTTCATTAACACTGGGTGGCCGATAACAAACTCCAATGATTACTTTTAGTATGCATACCAATGTGCAGTTCCACCCATAATGCTTCAGCCTCATCACACTCTCCATTAACCAGGTCCTCCTTCATGCCCACTTTAAGATCACTTCTCACATAGAGACTGACCCCACCACCTTTCCTTTTTTACCCTGTCTCTTCGAAATAGAACATAGCCAGGAATATTAATATCTCACTCTTGTGAAGAATGAACCCAAGATTCAGAAATACCAACTAAATCATAGTTCTCTTTATGCATCAATGCTTCTAACTCACCTATTCTGGCATTGGTGAACAAACACTTTATTTCATTGTCACAGTTTACCCACGTATTTTGCATGTTTTTTTATTTTCATACAAATAGTACCATTTCCAGTGGTTGTTTGCAACATGGGAACCTTCTTATTACTTGCCATAGCCCTCACCCCTTCTTTCCCTCTTCCACCCATCAATTGGGACTTACCCATGTCTGATCTGTCTGCCCTACTATAATCTAATTTTCCCTCTCCCCTCAATCTTAGTTTAAATATTCCTACAACCTTCCCATAAACCTCTCCCCCAGCACAGCAGACCCCCTTCCATTTCGGTGCAAGCCATATTTAGCATAAGGTTGTACCCCAATGAAAAGTCAGTCTTGTGCTCTAGAAACCCAAATACTTGCTTATTACAACAGGTCTTTAGCCATGCATTCAGTTCTATAATCTCCCCCTATCTTTCCTGTGTTGCGCATGGCACAGGCAATATTTCAGAGAATATCCCCTTGGAGGTCCTTCCCTTCAACTTGCAGCCTAGTTCTTTAAGTTAATTCTTAAGGGGCCTCCACCTTCCATGTATTCTGTCATTGCTTTCAACATGGAACAAGACAGCTGGGTCATGCCCAGCCCTTCTTAGTAATTTATCAACCTGTTCCACCACATGCCAAACCCTAGCACCAGGGAGACCGCAAACCAATTGGTTGAAGCGATCCTGGTGACAGATTATTCTATCAGTCCTTCTTAATATAGAATCCCCTATTACCACCAACTGTCTAGGCCTTTCTGCACTACCCTCACCACCCTTTATAGATGAGCTGCTCTCCCAGCTGTTAGGGATAGCAGTGACATTTAGGGCTGCAACCTCTGAGCTTGCCACCCCCACATCTTCACCCAACTTGGCAAATCTGTTTGGGTGCTCAAACCCAGGGCTGGCCTTCCTTTCTTGTGAGCTCCTACCACTCCCTCAAACTGCACTAACCCATCTTCCTACCTGATAATCCTGACTTACCCCTCCAACCTCTACATCAATTCCATTAACTACCTTCTCAGTGAGCAGAATACCCTTTCACACAGATGTAACAAAATGTTTTTAATGGGATATTTAACTGAAGAGACCAAATAAGAGACGTTCATTATTGGCTACGTGCACATTGGAGCACCATTAGACATTAACTCTCCTTGAAGCATAAAAACGCTAAACGCAGCAAAATGCATATAAAGGCGATACCACATTTATCTGCGTTTAGCGCTTGGATGTTTATTTATTTCATTAGTCAGAGTACTTGCCATTGAAATGAATAAACGCCCAAGCATTAAACATGGCTATTTCTTGAGTTGAGTTCAGGGGTTTTGGCACAAAAATATGCCAAAAGTTCCCAAACTCACATTTAGGAGCAGCAGTGTGGATGAGGCCTTAGGGTTTACATACACTTGAAGGAGAATATAGGAGTCTCTAGTGAATTTTTAAGGCGTAATTTCTAATTTAGAATGAAGTGGTTTCTTAGCTCTGCAATGTTTTTCCCCAACCACTGTCTGCATTAGATTCATAAGTAGGATGTTTGTGACAAAGACCGACCTGTAATCTGCGGACAGCCATGGAAAAGCAGGATGTAAATGTTCGGACAACACGTCAAAATGGCTTCCACTGAGTCATCAGTAAGATGAATACAGCGATCCATGTGAACTTCCTATGGAGAATAAGAGAAAGAGGATTACACTTAAGCCAGTAATGCATGGATCAAAATTCAGTCCATGTATGGGCACCCTGGTCGTGTAGAAGTCGATCTAAGCAGTTGACTTATGTACAACCAACCTGACAGATAACTGTTGCTCATTCAACACCACCAGCTATAGCTGATTAGTGTGTTCTGATGGCAGGGAAGTCTCCCTGCTGTCAGAACACAATAGCTTAGAGGGAGTGATTCCCCCATCCACCTCAAATGAATCATCTATAGGCTGCCTTGAGTTGTTAAAGTGGGAACATTATAGTCCTTTTAATAGACATAGAAAGTGAATAGAATATTGTGTCCATCACTGCCTATAACCATGGCCTAGTTAGTAAAAATTAGAGATATGATTTACAAATACCAGAAACAAATGACAAAATAACATTCCAATGTAATAACACAATGTAACAAAGCAATGCTCTATAGTTATGCTATAGAAAAGGATTATGTCAGTAACATACACTATTTATTTCTCTATTGTTGACTGGCTGTGAACTATGAAGAATAACTGGGAACAGAAGGTTATTTGCTATGTAAACATAATTATTTGATTATCACAAATATGAAGACAATCAAAGCATATCTAAGCCCTGGCTCACACTGCTGCGACATGAAATTTAAAAATCGCACCTGAAATCACATGTAATATATTTCTATGGCATTGTCCTAATACTGTAAGTGCAATTTCAAGCAGTGCAATTTGAAGAATATTTCCTGCATTACTTTTTTACCACTGCAGTGTGATTTAAAGTGGAGTTCCAGCCAATTTTGTGTTTAATAAAAGTCAGCAGCTACAAAAACTGTAGCTGCTGACTTTTAATAAACACACACTTACCTGTCCCGGAGTCCAGTGATGTTCTCACCTGCGCGGCCCCTTGTCCCCTTCTTTACTCCACAGTGCCTGCATCTCAACTGTGGGCACCAGGCTGTGACAGCTTGCAGCTTCACAGCCTGGTGCCCACTAATTGGTCCAGCAGTCTCCTGGAACCTGTGAAAGTTCCCAGGAGACTGCGGGAGGGAGGAGGGGGCCGCGGCGAACTGAGCTGGAAGTGGGATCGGGTACCTGTCAATACCAGGTACCCGCCCCCCCCCCCAAAAGGAGGGTGGAGGGGGGGAGGAGACAAATAAGTGGAGCTTCCACTTTTGAATGGAAGTCTGCTTTAACTCTCATAGACTATAAGGTAAATGGCACTGAAATCACACCTGTGTACATATCAGTGCTTCAATTGGACCAAATCGCATTACTTTGAAATTGCATTCGGTGAACCAGGGCTAAATCCAAAAATAAAAAAAACCTTACATATTTCAGCTTATCAATCCTTAGATGTGGCTGTGATGATGAGGTCCAGCAATCCCAAAACTGCATGTTTTCAACAAAATTATCAGATTTTGATTGTATGTCTGGGGCCAGGCATACAGCTGACACATTTCATATAACCCCCCCACTAAAACAACCTCCTCAAGAAGATCATGTACAATAAACAATACTTAAGCTGGTCATAGATGGATCAAAGTTTTGCTGGTTCAGCAGTGACTTAACAATCGCACACTGGGAGGATTCCCACATCCACTTTGAATTTGTGGATGGGGGAATTGGTTCAGTTTTTTTTTTTTTTCGCTCAGCTTGCTGGTTGAATGGGAAAAACTGAACCATGTATTGTCAACTTTAGGCCAAAGTCTGCAAAACTTCGAAAAAGACTTCTAATTAAGCCTCAATGTAAAAGTGCCATGTCATAAAACCTCTAGCCGGACCCCCAACAGATGTAACAACCTACATTAAGTCAAAGCCCACTAACAGCTGTTTTAATTAGCTGTAAAACAATATAGAGAGTGGTTTAAAACAAATAAACATCCTGGTTTGTTTTTTTCTCTAACAAAACCAAAATCCATTCATAATCCATAATTAGTGCTATGATCAGGCCCAGACTGGACAGAGGGCACACCGGGCATTTGCCCGGTGGGCAGGGGCAGCCTGGATAGGGAAGGAGGTCGGGCGGCACATAGAGGACCGTGCATTTCTCGGTTCTTATATGTTCCATCTGGCCGCCTTTGCTATCCATCTCCTGCAGGCTGCATGCCCTGGGCTCCTGTATGCTCCCCCTGCGGCCAGACCCCCTTATCCCCTTGATCACTGCGGGGGATCTGTCAGCATATGCCTTCCCCAGTGCTGACAATTCCCCACCCACCACAGATGGGAGAGGAGTGAGAAAGCTGTCCCTCCTCCTCCCACCCTCTCCTGTGTCTGCCCCGCTCACATTCCCAGCTAGCCCTGTGTCTTCTCTTCTGTCTCTCCTTTCTTTCTTTACTTCTCTCTTTTTTTTTCTCTCTTTCTCTGTCTCCTCTTTCTCTCCTTTCTTTCTCTCTCCTGTTTCTCTACTTTCTCTCTCTCTCTTTTTTTCTCTGTCTCCCATTTCTCTCATTTTTTTCTTCCTCTCTTTCTTTTTTATACTTCTCTCTCTCTCTCTCTCTCTCTCTCTTTGTCTCCTGTTCCTCTCCTTTCTTTCTTTCTTTTTCAGGTTTCTCTCCTTTCTTTCCATCCTTCTTTCTTTCCTTCCTCCCCTTTTTCCTTATAACCCTCTTTCCTTCTTTCCCTCCTTCCTTCTTTCCCTCCTTTCTTCTTTCCCTCCTTATATACAGCTTTCTCTCTCTCATTGTCTCCTGTTTCCCTCCTTCCTTCTTTCCCTCTTTCCTTCTTCCTTCACACAGAGAGAGAAGGAAAAAAAAAGGAAAGGGAGCGATGGAGAGAATTGCATGTCTGAAAGTTCAGCCCTGCGCTCCCCTCTCTGCCGCAAAACCGCCTCCCCCGCATCATTTTCCTATAACCATCTCTTTTTAGGTACTCTTTGCTATTTCTCTTTTGCCTGAACAACATTCTCCTTCAATCCCTCTGACCACCCTTTAATGTCCACAAACTGTAGTTCCAGTCTTTCAGAAAAGTCTCTCATATCTTCTGGGAATCTCAGTATTGCCGATTTGCCATCCTTCCACCCGATCAAGCATGCAGGGAAACCCCAACTATAACGGACTTGTTTCTCTTTCATCTGGTCCAAAAATGGTTTCAGGAGTCTTCTTCTTGCACGTGTGTCTGGGGCAATATCTGCGAAAATTTGTAGCTTTATTTCTCCGAATTTTACTTCTGATAGCCCGCTCAACTTCTTCCAGATGTTTTCTATATCTTAGTAATGATGGAAAGCACTATCACGTCTCTTGGGTTATTTGATGTTACTCTTTGGGACCTCCTTATCCTATGCACTCTGTCTACTGTTAATTGTTCACTCTCTGCTCTCCTTATTATTGGATTACATAATTTATTCATCTTTTCTGGTAGATATTCTCCTTGAGAAACCTCTGGTAAACCCCGAATCCTCAGATTATTTCTTCTATCTCGATTTTCCTGATCCTCCAATTTATATGAGAGCGCTCTCTGTTCTCTTCCCATTTCTTCCATTTGCCCTTCTAATTTATTAATTATCTGATCTTGTTTCTCCAAATTTCTTTCTGTTTCTTCTACTCTTGACAGAATTTGTCCCATATCCTTATGTAATACCACCATATTGCTCTTTATGGAACTTTCCAATTTTGCAAACATCTCTGCAATTTCTAATTTTGTGGGCATTTGCTGCTCTTCCGATCTTTTTCCTATTTCAATTTCTGTGTCTGTGACTTCTTTCGACTGGTTCTTATCCATTGCTCTGAAAGATAATCTTGTTTGATCTCCAATGCGACTTACTTCTTGTCCCTCAAGGACTAAGTCCTCTGGGCTTTTCTCCTGTAAAGGCATGTACCTCTTTATTGTGCTTGTATTTAGGCTCGGTTGGGGAGTTTTAGCACCTCCTCCATTAGCTGATCTGCTCTTCATCTTTTCAATGCTATTCGTATCTTCTGGTGGAATGATTATCAGAGAAATTAATCCAGCTTTTTTCCTGAGCCCCTTTTAGTTTATTTTCTGGGAGTTATAGTCCATCTGCCACTTCCTGGGTGCCCCATTAACCATTAAATACTATTCACCGTCCCACCAACCTTTGCTTACTTCTATTGTTTTCCTCCTATCTTCCAGTAACGTTAGACACAGTCGTAATAACACAGGGGATTTACCACCTCCCGCGGCAACTCACCCTCTCCGCCTTCAAGCTGCTTCCTCCAACTTCACCTCTGGCACAGGGTACTAGGTTTTGATCTTCCAGGGTCTCCAGAGGTGCCTCTAGTGTCAGGAGTCACCCACCACACAGGCCACCGCTCCTCAAGACCATACACTGTCCTCGGATTACTCCAAGCTCCAGGACTCCCCTCCTTCGACACCTAACCGGTCACGTGGTCACTCCCGGCATCTCATGCTCCTCCACCAGACCTTTCTTCCCCCTCAACTGCACATCGGCTCACAGGTCTCCCTCTGCTCCAGGGCCTTGGCTCCCTGGGATGCTCCAGGCCAGGCGTACAAAGCCTCTCCGGTCAGGACTCATCTCAGACATTTGCAGGGTGAGTGGGTAGGCGCTTAGCTTTCTGACATTGTACAGCTGGTGTCAGGAGCTCCTAGAACCTACCACCTCTGAGCGCCTTGTTTGCACCCTGCCCCCCTTCTTTCCCTCCTTCCATACATCTCTCTTTCTTTATCTCTCTCTGTCTCCTGTTTCCCTCCTTCCTTCTTTCCCTCCTTTCCTTTTTTCTATATGTCTCGCTTTTCTTTCTCTCTCTCCTGTTTCCCTCCAAACTTCTTTCCCTTTCTTTCTTTCCCTCGTTCCTTCTTTCCCTCGTTCTATATGATTTTTTTCTTTCTCTCTCTGTCTCCTGTTTCCCTCCTTCTTTCTTTCTCTCTTTTTTTTTCTTCCTTTCCTTCCTTTCCCCTTCCTTCTTTCTTTCTTTCCCGCCTTCCTTTTCCCCCCCCTTCCATATGTCTCTTTCTTTCTCTCTCAATCTCTGCCTCCTGTTTCCATCCTTCCTTTCTTTCCCTTCTTTCTTTCTATACATCTCTCTTTCTTTCTCTATGTCTCTTTTTCTTTCTCTCTGTCTCCTGCATCTCTCCTTTCTTTCTCTCCCTCCTTTTCTTCCTTCAGTCTCTCTTTCCTTCCTTCTACACGTCTATCTTTCTTTCTCTATCTCTGTCTCCTTCCTTCTCTTTTTCTTTTTTTTTTTTCTTTCTTTCCCTCCTTCCTTCTCCCTCCTTCCTTCTTTCCCTCTTTCTTTCCCCCCTTCTATACATCTCTCTTTGTTTCTCTCTCTCTGTCTCCTGTTTCCCTCCTTCTTTTACCTCCTTCCTTCTTTCCCTCCTTCTATGTGTATCTTTCTTTCTCTGTCTCCTGTTTCCCTCCTTCCTTATTTCTCTCTCTCTCTTTCTTTCCCTCCTTCTATACGTCTCTTTCTCTCCCTCTGTCTCCTTTTTCCCTCTTTTCTTCTTTCTTTATCACCTTCCTTCTTTCACTCTTTCCCTCCTTCTTTCTTTTTTCCTTTCCTTCTATATGTCTCTTTTCTCTCTCTCTCTCTCTCTCTCTCTTCTCTCTCTCTCTCTCTTTCCTTCTTTCCCTCCTTCTTTCTTTTATTCCTCTCTTCTTTCTTTCTCTAAATCTCTCTTTCTTTCTCTACTCTCTCTCCAGTTTCTCTCCTTTCTTTCCTTCAGTCTCTCTTTCCCTCCTTCTACAGGTGAAACTCGAAAAATTAGAATATCGTGCAAAAGTTAATTTATTTCAGTAATGCAACTAAAAGGTGAAACTAATATACGAGATAGACTCATTACATGCAAAGCAAGATAGTTCAAGCCGTGATTTGTCATAATTGTGATAATTATGGCTTACAGCTCATGAAAACCCCAAATCCACAATCTCAGAAAATTTGAATATTACATGCAATCAATAAAACAAGGATTGTACATAGAACAATATCGGACCTCTGAAAAGTATAAGCATGCATATGTACTCAGTACTTGGTTTGGGCCCCTTTTGCAGCAATTACTGCCTCAATGCGGCGTGGCATGGAAGCTATCAGCCTGTGGCACTGCTGAGGTGTTATGGAAGACCAGGATGCTTCAATAGCGGCCTTCAGCTCTTCTGCATTGTTCAGTCTCATGTCTCTCATCTTTCTTTGGCAATGCCCCATAGATTCTCTATGGGGTTCAGATCAGGCTAGTTTGCTGGCCAATCAAGCACAGTAATCCCACGGTCATTGAACCAGGTTTTGGTGCTTTTGGCAGTGTGGGCAGGTGCCAAGTCCTGCTGGAAAATGAAGTCAACATCCCCATAAAGCTCGTCTGCGGAAGGAAGCATGAAGTGCTCCAAAATCTCCTGGTAGATGGCTGCATTGACCCTGGACTTAATGGAGCACAGTGGACCAACACCAGCAGACGACATGGCTCCCCAAATTAACACAGACTGTGGAAACTTCACACTGGACTTCAAGCATCTTGCAGTATGTACCTCTCCATTCTTCCTCCATACTCTGGGTCCTTGGTTTCCAAATGAGACGCAAAAGTTGCTCTCATCAGAAAAGAGGACTTTGGACCACTGAGCAACAGACCAGGTCTGTTTTTCTTTAGCCCAGGTAAGACGCTTCTGACGCTGTTTGTTGTTCAGGAGCGGCTTGACAAGAGGAATACGACACTTGAAGCCCATGTCCAGGATCCGTCTGTGTGTGGTGGCTCTTGATGCACTGACTCCAGCCTCAGTCCACTCCTTGTTTAAGTCCCCAACACTTTTGAATGGCCTTTTCCTGACAATCCTCTCCAGGCTGCGGTCATCCATGCTGCTTGTTCACTTTTTTCTTCCACACTTTTCCCTTCCACATAACTTTCTATTAATGTGCTTTGATACAGCACTTTGGGAACATCCAACTTCTTTTGCAATTACCTTTTGAGGCTTTCCCTCCTTATGGAGGGTGTCAATGATGGTTTTCTGCACAACTGTCAGGTCAGCAGTCTTTCCCATGATTGTGATTCCTACTGAACCAGACTGAGAGACCATTTAAAGGCTCAGGAACCCTTTGCAGGTGTTATGGCTTAATTAGCTGATTAGAGTGGGACACTTTGAGCCTAGAATATTGCACCTTTTCACAATATTCTAATTTTCTGAGATTGTGGATTTGGGGTTTTCATGAGCTGTAAACCATAATCATCACAATTATGACAAATCACGGCTTGAACTATCTTGCTTTGCATGTAATGAGTCTATCTCATATATTCTTAGTTTCATTTTAAAATATTAGCATTATCGATATTAAATTAACTGTTGCACGCTCATTTTTAAAGAGTTTTCCACTAGAACTGAAAGAGAGAGACTGAAGGAACTGTTGAAACTGGAGAGATAGAGAGAGAGAGATGTAGAGAAAGAATTTTTTGAGGAGGGAAACCTGTATATGTATCTCTATATTTCTTTCCTCTCTCTATTCTAATTTTTTGAGTTTCGCCTGTCATTCTATATTTCTTTCTCTCTGTCTCCTTTTCCCTCATTCCTTCTTTCCCCACTTTTGTTCTTTTTCCTTCCTTCCTTCTTTCCCTCCTTCCTTGTCTCCCTCCTTCCTTCTTTCCTCCATTCCTGCTTTCCCTCTTTCTTTCCCTCCTTCCTTCTTTCTTTCCATCCTTCTATACGTCTCTCTTTCTTTCTCTCTGTCTCCTGTTTCTCTTCTTTCTTTCCCTCCTTTTTTTCTTCCTTCAGTCTTACTTTCCCTCCTTCTACACGTCTATCTTTCTTTCTCTCTCTCTGTCTCCTGTTTCCCCTTTCCTTTTCCTTCCTTCTTTCCCTCCCTTCCCTTTTTCTTTTCCTCCTTGTATACGTCTCTTTCTTTCTCTCTCTGTCTCCTGTTTTTCCTCCTCCTTCCTTCCTTCCTTTCCTTTCCTTTCTTTCCTTCTTTCCTGGTTTTTTCTTCCTTCCTTCTCTCCCCCTTTCTTTCCCTTCTTTCTTTCTCTCCTTCCTTCTTTATTTCCCTCCTTCTATACATCTATTTCTTTCTCTCTCTCTGTCTCCTGTTTCTCTTTCTTTCTCTCCTTCTTTCTTTCCCTCCTATATGTCTCTCTTTTTTTCTCTCTCTCTCCTGTTTCCCTCCTTCCTGCTTTCTTCTTTCTTTCCCTCTTTCCCTCCTTCCTTCTTCCCCGCCTTTCTTTTTCTTTCCCTCCTTCTATACGTTTCTCTTTCTTTCTCTCTCTCTGTCTGTCTTCTGTTTCCCTCTTCACTTTTTTCCCTCTTTCTTTATTTCTCTCCTTCTTTACTTCCGTCTTTCCCTCTTTCTTTCCCTCCTTCCTACAAAAAAATGAAAAAAAAAAATAAAATATATAAAATTTAAAAAATTAAATAAAAATAAAAACCTACTGACACTAGTGGCAGAACTACCAGGGTCACAAAGGTTGCTCCTGCGACCGGGCCCTGGTGTTCCACCACCAGGCTCTACAGAAAGGGTCCCCAGGCTATGGGCTGCTCAGTTCAAAATGCCCGGGCCTACGTTTTGTCCCAGTCCGGGCCTGGCTATGATGGAGCTACATGCATATCAGATGATTACAGAAAATAAAGAAAATGTAGATACCAGACACATCTATATAGAGGAGTAGAAAGCTGGTGACACACATTACTAATTTTAGGAAGACATACAAAGGATTGATATTATGTTTGGTGCATGACAAATCTTAATTATAAACAATCAATAAAATTCTTGCCATAACAGTCAAACTTGTCAGCGTCACAAAATTGATCATAAGCTTGCAATTCTATTTCACTTTGATAATGTTAGTTACATCAATTTATTGATTGAATGATCATATATTAATATGTGTGTGGCCACCTTTAGCTTTGTGAATTGAGCCTCCTGTCTTTCACAGATGTTCTTGCCAGTGAAAACATTCTGTCCCTAACTGCTCTTAGTAGCACAGTGTGGCTGGTCATCAGCACATCCTAGATTGCCAAATGACAAACAGAAAGTGAAGCAAGGTTACAGGAAAACTTCAGATAGCTGTGCAGTCATACCTTTAAATTTTGTGAACATCTTCCAGCTGCAAGAGCTATGACTCCATCATCCGTCACCTAAAAACAGTGAGAAACTTGTTATATAAGATCTCAAGTTAGATAAGCCTCATTCATAAAATGCAGTTAGCAAAGGAACAATATGGATGTACAGTACATTTTGGGAAGCTGGTGCTGGCAGAGAAAGTTTCCCATGAGCACTGTGGGTGCGCTCTTTTCAGTACATGGAGTATTCATGCTCAATCCTTTCATTAAAAAAAAAATATACCTGCTTCTTTCTGGTCATACATTTTAATAAAATTACCTGACATCTTCAGGACTTGAACTATTTGATTCCATATCTGCAGTTTTTCTCGTATTTTTTGGATGGGACATTAAAACTGCATTTCGGGTATGTTTGAAATTTCACTTTGCAGTGAGACCCTCCTCTCTTTGTACTGCAAGGTTTAAATATCTACTGCTGGTGCTAAATTGTACATAATAACATCAAAGAGCTACAGCCAGTTGCACAGCAAAGAGAAGTGGCTTTGAGAAGCCAGTTGTACAGAGAGAAGGAAGCATGCAAGAGCACAGAATAAGTATTTCACCTTTTTCCTTACTGTTGTGGATATTGTCTGCTGGAGCCCAACAGACATCACACAGAGTACAGACTGCAAGTAACTCGTGGTGTCACTATGCAGTACTACTTTATTGCTTCCACAGGTCCAAATGCATAGGCACAATTACATAAGCATGAGTTAATGTAGACTAGTGGAAGTGTGGTACACATTACAAGATATTTACATTACAAGTATACAAGCATATGCAAATCATATTTCAGTCATGTCATTTATATTACAGCTTATGAATAGGTCAGTATACAGTAGTCCTAAGAGTAATGTCAGCCATGGATGGATCTCAGCTGGTTCAACAGGGACCAGCCAAGATTTGATCCATCCATGAGCAGGCTGACTGTACTGACATAGATCTAGTGCAAATATTGGAAGTCGAATCCACTCTGTTGTTCTTTTTTTCATGCCATCACTGCCGGAGCCTATAGCCACCAACAGTGATCGTTGTGTTCTGCTGGTAGAGAAGTCTCCCCACCAGCAGAACACAATAGCGCTGCAGTAGGGATTCCCTCATTAACACAGTCAGTGCAATTTTCTTTCCTTCCACCCATGGTGGAAGATAAGAAAATTGCATAATCAGCCATACTAGCATTTAAAAGAAAATAAATAGAGCTGAGCTAAAGTTTCTAGGTGAAATGTCCCAGTTAAAAAAAGCAATCTGATATAATATTAGATACAATTATCTTCAATAAAATTTATTATAATTTTGATCAGTCTATAGTTATAATTTATTTGCCACTTACCCCATAGGCATAATGAGTATTTAACCCTTGCAATTCAGTGACAGGTGACAATTGATAGGTACCCAACATTCTGTTTTAAAGGCCAATTCCTTCCAAAACTAGTATTTTAGCATTGTAGGCTAGAGAAATAACTTGTCTTTTTAGATCTTGTAGGCATTTTGCCCAATAGCCTCAGGCAAAGCCAAAAGGCAGCATTATACAGAATTTCTAAAAACAGGGTTGAAGTGGCTTGCATAGAGCAATAAAAATGTTACCCTCTATAAATAGAAAGATGTTTATTGGCAAAGAAAGCAAAGTTACATATAGCAGAAGCTGCCACTTTTTGAAAAATGGTTAAAGACAAAATAGCCATCTGTGTGCCTAATTATTACACTGCTTATACCTAAATGTAGCACTACATGGCCTTCTTGGGTGAGAATACAAATGCTGAAATACCAGATTGTATAGATTCTGCATAATGTGTATCTCTAGATAAGGATGTAACATTCTGTACACTGTATGAGTCATTTCCAGATAAATGACCTTGATATTTTTAGCCTGCCCCATCCCCATGTGCTCGCGCACACACACCCACACATTCACTCCTGTCAGGGGCACCTACAATAGAAAATGTTGCTTAAGATACATATGATACACATCACTGCATGTGCTGGAGTGAGAGCAATAATTCTAGGGATAATGTGTACGGTTAACTCTACACTGATGACCTGTAGGGGCTTTTAAAGTGTCATCTGGAAAATACAGGGTATCGAAGTTTGTTATTGTTTTGCGGTTGAGTGCAAAAAAGCTCAACATGTTGGGGTATCGATTTACTCGGCACAATCTCATCTTTTATATTTTACCAAAAAAGGGCGATGTATTGTATTGCTGTGCTCTAAGATGAACTTTTAATGTATTTTGTAATGAAATTTTTCATTGATAACCTGCATCGCAAATGTTGCACAACTTTAAAAACTGGACCTACAACTATTTTATTCTCTTTCAGAAAATTTATATTTGGGGGGTTGCCCCCCCAACTTAAAAATTGCAGTTTACAATACAGAAAAATAAATAATTTTAAATACTTGTTATACTTGCCTTGCCATGTGACAAAATCGAGTCGGGTGCTGCTGAGCCAATTACAGGAAACCTTGTATTTTATGAATGAATACAAGTCCTCCTCTGATTGGCTGGGGATGGAGATCATGATGTCATATGCCCTCCTCTCCCTCTCTCCTCAGCCTGACTCGATTTTGTTCCAGGAGTGGGATGGAAAGTACTGCACTGTATACTTTATGCAGCTGAGTGAAGGGAGTAGTTTATTTGGACCAGCTCGGTCCAAACAAACTATTTAAAGTTCACTAAGACATGGAGATCAGCTTTAAGCCATATAAATAAAAGCTGGCTGAGGTACGCATGGCCTGTAAAATGAAGAAGAAAAATAATCTACTGGCAGGATCACCACCTAATAATACTGTGTAACAGGATGACTCAGAAAAACATAAGCTACTCTGTTAATACTATTGACAGACTGCATCATATATATATTTTTATTTTGCCCGTAGTTACAGAAAGTGAGAAGGCAATTTCCCCAATGCAACAAAAACTAAAAAAATGGTTACATATACACTTTAAGAGCATTGAAACAAGGCCCCTAGCCATACTTACTGCTGTAGCTGAGAAGTCCACGCTGTGTAAATGAAGGCAATTTTGCCCCAGAGCCTGCAGTGAGACATCAGAGATTTGGGTGCAGCCACTAAGGTTGATGATCTGAAGCAGAGGACAATGCAGGGAGAGCGACAGGATGCCACCGTCAGTGACATTGCGGCATTTTTTCAGGGTGACCTCATGGAGGTACGGACAAGACTGTGCAACTGCTTCGATGCCTAGATAAAGGTAGGAGAAATATGGGTGACAACCTCAGACAGCAAATTTATTGAAGTAAACAAGTTCATTCCTTTATTTCTTCAACTACAGATGATCAACTAAGGGTTCAGTTTCTCTCTTTTGAGCATGAATTCTCTATTTTTAGCATTTTTCAGTTCATCAAATGGGCTTTTCCATTGGCAGTTCAGGAAGTTAAGATGATCACAAGAGAATGTATATACAGTCAGGTCCATAAATATTGGGACATCGACACAATTCTAACATTTTTGGCTCTATACACCACCACAATGGCTTTGAAATGAAACGAACAAGATGTGCTTTAACTGCAGACTGTCAGATTTAATTTGAGGGTATTTACATCCAAATCAGGTGAACGGTGTAGGAATTACAACAGTTTGCATATGTGCCTCCCACTTGTTAAGGGACCAAAAGTAATGGGACGGAATAATAATCATAATCAAACTTTCACTTTTTAATACTTGGTTGCAAATCCTTTGCAGTCAATTACAGCCTGAAGTCTGGAACGCATAGAAATCACCAGATGCTGGGTTTCATCCCTGGTGATGCTCTGTCAGGCCTCTACTGCAACTGTCTTCAGTTCCTGCTTGTTCTTGGGGCATTTTCCCTTCAGTTTTGTCTTCAGCAAGTGAAATGAATGCTCAATCGGATTCAGGTCAGGTGATTGACTTGGGCATTGCATAACATTCCACTTCTTTCCCTTTAAAAACTCTTTGGTTGCTTTGCAGTATGCTTTGGGTCATTGTCCATCTGCACTGTGAAGCGGCTGTCCAATGAGTTGTGAAGCATTTGGCTGAAAATGAGCAGATAATATTGCCCGAAACACTTCAGAATTCATCCTGCTGCTTTTGTCAGCAGTCACATCATCAATAAATACAAGAGAACCAGTTCCAATGGCAGCTATACATGCCCACGCCATGACACTACCACCACCATGCTTCACTGATGAGGTGGTATGCTTAGGATCATGAGCAGCAGTTCCTTTCCTTCTCCATACTCTTCTCTTCCCATCACTCTGGTACAAGTTGATCTTGGTCTCATCTGTCCATAGGATGTTGTTCCAGAACTGTGAAGGCTTTTTTAGATGTTCTTTGGCAAACTCTAATCTGGCCTTCCTGTTTTTGAGGCTCACCAATGGTTTACATCTTGTGGTGAACTTCTGTATTCACTCTGGTGAAGTCTTCTCTTGATTGTTGACTTTGACACACGTACACCTACCTCCTGGAGAGTGTTCTTGATCTGGCCAACTGTTGTGAAGGGTGTTTTCTTCACCAGGGAAAGAATTCTTCGGTCATCCACCACAGTTGTTTTCCGTGGTCTTCCGGGTCTTTTGGTGTTGCTGAGCTCACCGGTGATTTCCTTCTTTTTAAGAATGTTCCAAACAGTTGTTTTGGCCACGCCTAATGTTTTTGCTATCTCTCTGATGGGTTTGTTTTGTTTTTTCAGCCTAATGATGGCTTGCTTCACTGATCGTGACAGCTCTTTGGATCTCATCTTGAGAGTTGACAGCAACAGATTCCAAATTCAAATAGCACACTTGAAATGAACTCTGGACCTTTTATCTGCTCATTGTAATTGGGATAATGAGGGAATAACACAAACCTGGCCATGGAACAGCTGAGAAGCCAATTGTCCCATTACTTTTGGTCCCTTAACAAGTGGGAGGCACATATGCAAACTGTTGTAATTCCTACACCGTTCACCTGATTTTTATGTAAATACCATCAAATTAAAGCTGACAGTCTGCAGTTAAAGCTCATCTTCTTTGTTTCATTTGAAATCCATTGTGGTGGTGTATAGAGTCAAAAATGTTAAAATTGTGTTGATGTCCCAATATATTTATGGACCTGACTGTACCTGCCCTCCTAGGTCAACAGTCTTGTACTGCCCTATACTACCTCAGTCGACTGGCCAAACTTATCATATTAGCACTATTAGCATATTAACGGCTTTCTCTCCTCTCCTTGCAGTGATTGGTAAGCACCGTCCATGTGATTGTGCTGACCAATAAAATGCCCTCTAGCTTGAACTGTCATCCCTGCAAGGAGAGGAGAGAAAGCATCAGGGATTTCAAATCCCCACCGCTTTAGGTTTACACAGGAGCAGTGCGGAAAACGCATGCGATTTAGACAGGAATCACATTCCTGTTCAATTCACATGCTAATCTTTGCGGTGCAATTTGTGTCCATACGTTTTGTATGGACACAAATCGCACTGCAAAGTATCAGTACTTGGTATCGGTGAGTACCTGACCGAAAGTATTGGTACTTGTACTCCCCGATAAAAAAAGGGTATCGGTGCATCCCTACTAAAAAGGTAAAAAAATATTTTTTTTTTAATTATTAAAGTGTGTGCTGTGTGCATGAGAACACATAAAAACCTATTGTGGGGGAATTCTCAAGATTACATTTTATCACTATGAGGTTGATTACTGTGTCACAATAACAGATACACAGCGCAGAAGACTTTTTTTAATTTCTGTTACCGTCTGAAGTGACTGAAGTCCTCTCCTCCCCTTTGCAAGAGTTTAAATTGATTTTCTTGAGCTGCTTGCATAGCGATATCACTCGTAGGGCGTTGTCTGAAACATCGCAGTCGCGGAGGTCCAGTTTTTTTTGACTGATGGATGCAACACCTGAAGGAAAGGTCCACAATATGAGGGCAATGCATGTTTAGTAAGGTCTCTAAAAGGTAGGCTCACACTACCTGCAGAAGAAAACGTTCTGTTTACCTCTGAAGGTAGTGATTGCAGCTGCCAGCAAAGAGGGCAAAGATTTTTAAAAGGAACGGCACCATTTTTCAATTAATTTTCCAGGTATGGCAGGTCAGCTGCCATGCATAAAAATGCAGGGTTACACAGAGACCTGCAGAGTGGTGCAGAAAATTGCGCAGTTGGATTGGATTGTTTTCTGTGTGCCTTTGCAGAGAGCTGCGTTTTTCTTATGCACATTATTTGGATGCTTAGTGATATGAGCCTAGAGATCTGTGCAATATGTTATTTAACAGAGGAAGCAGAAATACACCATTTTGTGAACTAACCTCATGGGTCAATCTGCAGGAAACTGAAAACAATAGCTTTCATTACAACAGAAAGAGCAAAAATGTGTTTTCAAGTAAACATTTGCATTTCAGATGGTGGATTGGGAAACAGGAACAATGAACACCATGCCAAAACTTAGCAAAAGCAGCCAAAAACCCAGTTTTAGCTTTATTTTAGATGAACAACAGCACTAGCATTCTTTGCCCTAGTTATATATATATATATATATATATATATATATATACTGTATATCAGTAGTTTTTTTTGTATCACCAGAGAAGTGTAGCAGCATACCTTTGCATCCAAATTTATGAAGAATATGTTTTATAACAGAAAGTAAGGGACACTTTTTTTTTTTTTTTCAAAAAGGTTTTGGTTTTGATATATATATATATATATATATATATAAAAAATATAAATATTGAAAATTTGAAAATACAGTAAAAGATTACAAGAACACAAAAAAGAAAGCTCTATGTTTCCAAAAAAATGACACAGTATTCATTTGGGTACAGTATTGCATGACGTAGTAATTATCAAAGTAACAGCACTGAAAAATGAAAAATGGCCTAAACAGAAAGAGAGTGAAAGATGTCAGTTAGTTCTCAAATGGTAAAGGCATAACTAGGATAGAACAACAAAGTCTACTCAGAACACAGATATATGGAGGAATTTACATACTTTAAATTATGTATGTGATTTAGATTTTGATACGTCTCATGTACTATATGTCATTTCTTATCTTTTGATGAATGATTATTTTTAAATATTACAAATCAAAACTCCACATTTAAAGCAGAACTTTACCCAAAAAGGTGAAGTTCTGCTTATTATCATCATCCCCCCCCCCCCCCGCTGCCCCATTTGACACTTTTTTGGGGGAGTGGATACCAGGTTTTGACAGGTATCCACTCCCACTTCAGGTCAGATCGTCACGGCGATCTTTGTGGAAGTTTGCCCCCTTGTCCTTCCACTTCCCCCTCCAGCCATCTGGGACACATCACAGGTCCCAGAAGACAGAGGGACTATTCAGAAAGCATAGCATGGCTCGTGCATGCACAGAAGGCTTTGCTGTCAGTTTCACTTGCCTAAGATGCTGGCGCCTGCAACCGAAGCCGATTGAAGAATCAGCTTCGGTGAGGACAGTGCTGGATCCCTGGACAGGCAAGTGTCCTTACATTAGAAGTATTTTAATATAAATATATTAACAAAAGTATTTGTAGCTGCTGTGACGATCACGGTGTCAGACCCCAGCCCTTCTCACCAAACTCGTGACCGAAGGACTAGCCAATCTAAAACCGTGCTGTCACATGCGTAACAATGCCACGCCCAGCTGCACCCTGAACAAAGATTTTCCAGCTATTGGACTACAACCTGTGTGCCGGCAGCCTGGGAGCGATTGTTACTGGGTCAGGTTAATTACGCAATTAACCCTTCACACTGCCACCACCTCCATTTTGTTCAGAAAAAGAGGAAACGCGGCAATATCAGCAATAACACTATGATGTTTGCATAAGCGTTGGTATACCACTGTCACAGCAGGCAGCGATATAGCAAAGTTTAAAACACACATACAGTAGCGCTCTTCAGAGGCAGGGGTTAATAGTTTGCATTAAAGAGCTTTAGAAACAGTTCAACACTTTCAGAAAGTAAAATTTATTACTAAAAGGTCAAAAGGGTGCAATAAAATATTTACAGAAAAAGATGTAGCCAATATATATATATACAGTGGTGCAAAAAAGTATTTAGTCAGCCACCAATTGTGCAAGTTTTCCCACTTAAAAAGATGAGAGAGGCCTGTAATTGGCATCATAGGTAGACCTCAACTATGAGGAGACAAAATGAGGAAAAAAAAATCCAGACAATCACATTGGCTGATTTGGAAAGAATTTATTTGCAAATTATGGTGGAAAATAAGTATTTGGTCACCTACAAACAAGCAAAATTTCTGGCTCTCACAGACCTGTACCTTCTTCTTTAAGAGGCTCCTCTGTCCTGCACTCATTACCTGTATTAATGGCACCTGTTTTATCAGTATAAAAGACACCTGTCCACAACCTCAAACAGTCACACTCCAAACTCCACTATGGTGAACACCAAAGAGCTGTCCAAGGCCCCCGGAACAAAATTGTAGACCTTCACCAGGCTGGTAAGACTGAATCTGCAATAGGCAAGCAGCTTGGTGTGAACAAATAAACTGTGGGAGCAATAATTAGAAAATGGAAGGCATACAAGACCACTGATAATCTCCCTCGATCTGGGGCTCCATGCAAGATCTCACCCCGTGGGGTCAAAATGATCACAAGAACGGTGAGCAAAAATCCCAGGACCACACGAGGGGACCTAGCAAATGACCTGCAGAGAGCTGGGACCAACGTAACAAAGGCTACCATCAGTAACACACTACGCCGCCAGGGACTCAGATCCTGCAGTGCCAGACATGTTCCCCTGCTTAAGCCAGTACATGTCCTGGCCCGTCTGAAGTTTGCTAGAGAGCATTTGGAAGATCCAGAAGAGGATTGGGAGAATGTCATATGGTCAGATGAAACCAAAATAGAACGGTTTGGTAGAAACACAACTCGTCGTGTTTGGAGGCGAGAGAATGCTGAGTTGCATCCAAAGAACACCATACCTACTGTGAAGCATGGGGGTGGCAACATCATGCTTTGGGGCTGTTTCTCCGCAAAGGGACCAGGATGCCTGATCCATGTACAGGACAGAATGAATGGGGCCATGTATCGTGAGATTTTGAGTGCAAACCTCCTTCCATCAGCAAGGGCATTGAAGATGAAACATGGCTGGGTCTTCCAACATGACAATGATCCCAAACATACCTCCCGGCAACGAAGGAGTGGCTTCGTAAGAAGCATTTCAAGGTCCTGGAGTGGCCTAGCTAGTCTCCAGATCTCAACCCCATAGAAAACCTTTGGAGGGAGTTGAAAGTCTGTGTTGCCCAGTGACAGCCCTAAAACATCACTGCTCTATGGAAATCTGCATGGAGGAATGGGCCAACATACCAGCAACAGTGTGTGCCAACCTTGTGAAGACTTACAGGAAACGTTTGACCTCTGTCATTGCCAACAAAGGATATATAACAGGTATTGAGATGAACTTTTGATATTGACCAAATACTTATTTTCCACCATAATTTGCAAATAAATTCTTTCCAAATCAGCCAATGTGATTGTCTGGATTTTTTTCTCATTTTTTTCTCTCATGGTTGAGGTCTACCTATGATGCCGATTACAGGCCTCTCTCATCTTTTTAAGTGGGAGAACTTGCACAATTGGGAGCTGACTAAAAATACTTTTTTGCCCCACTATGTGTGTATGTATAGTATATATATATATATATATATATATATATATATATATATATATAAAAATATACAAAGAGCAATAGCACAGCAAAGAGATAACAGAAAGAAGTTTAGATAAAGTACTTGCCAAAAGCCTTGGGGTAAGCAGTTTTCAAGTTTCAGAGCCAAAAGGATGCCTTATCTCCCAAAGTTGGTTCCGATGTTAAAAGGGAGAAACTTCAACTACTACTCAACTCAGCTTAGCTTTTTCTAGGAACTCCACAGGGTGTCTCCCTGAAGCAGAGAACCAATCGCCTCATTTGGGCTGGTGTTGCAGGCGGAGACCCAAGCTATGACCAAAAACTCTCCCGTAGCTTATATTATGGTTCATAACTTACCCTGGATACATATAACATTCTATCCATGAGTAGATTAATATGCAGAATCTTCTGCTGAACGTCTACATATGAAATATGAGATACCTGCTTGGATGGTTAAGGAGATATAATTTTCTGCTCTCCTGTATATGCCAGCTAGGGGGTGTAATATACCAGGCGACTTGTCTTAAAGTGAGCTGTCCCAATATGTGTTCCATGTTTTTGTAATTATGTCCTATTTGAAGATATAAAATTATATGGAAAAGTGAGTTTTTAAATGTAAGTCTGTTTTTTTACGACTACCTGGAATGTCTTTGAAGCTCCGTGAGGGCTAGGTTTATGGTTTTACGATCCCTTCTCCAGCAAGAGTCTCGCAGACATAGGGGCACCAGCTAGTGAAGGTTTATAGCCTTGACGCCCTCCCAATGAGTTTGCTGCCTGTGATCTCTGTCATCATCCAGACCACATGTCACTCAACAGAGAGGGAGGGGGATATCGGAGGAATCTGATTTGGGAGAGAAAGAGATACAAGATGGAGGGGTTTGGAGCAAAATGGATGACCACGTCCATCTCTGTGTGAATGATTGCTACAGCTGCTGACCTAATTTTTTGGGGGGAGACTAGAACTCCTCTTTAACGTAAATAAGAGCTGATGATGAGGTTATGAAATCATAATGTCAGTTTGGATTAAAAAAAGTATACAGTCAGGTCCATAAATATTGGGACATCGACACAATTCTAACATTTTTTGGCTCTATACACCACCACAATGGATTTGAAATGAAATTAACAAGATGTGCTTTAACTGCAGACTGTCCGCTTTAATTTGAGGGTATTTACCTCCAAATCAGGTGAACGGTGTAGGAATTGCAACAGTTTGCATATGTGCCTCCCACTTAT